GGGACCTTTGATGCCCGCCCAATTATAGTTGCCGCATTAATTATAGTTTATTCTTTTTTGGAGTGAAATTCCTGGCGCTTATTCCTGGCGCCTATAGATATATACTGAAATAAATGAAAAACGAAAGTAGTCTTTTTCTTTTTCCTTCTCTTTGCTTTTTCGCTACGCGTTTTACCGCTGTTGCGGCTCTTCAGGCATAGCATATGCCTGCAAATGTCTGCATATGCCTGAAGAGCCACAACAGCGGTGAAACGCGTGCCGTAAAAGCAAAGAAAAAGAAAAAAAGGACTTTCGTTTTTCATTTATTTCAGTATCTTTGTTCGACACAGAAGTTTACAGTTTGTCCAAGCCATGCCAGAGTGCTCAAACTAGGAAAGCCTAGTGAGCTATGCGCATATGTATATGAGCTATGCACTATATGAGCTATGACCTAGTGAGCTATGCGCTATATTTATATGTAATTTAGGAATGGGATGAAATCCTCATCAGCTTGAATCTATATATAGCCTTAAATTTCTTCTTTCCAGTAGTCAAATATATATCTTTCTCATAAGTTTATGTAAACAGTTTTATGTAATTTTATGTACATTGAAATTTTATGGAGGCAATTTTGTGTAAGTTGATGTACATTGAAATTGACAGGAAGGGTCAGGTTATACTTTTTTTTTAACATATCCTTAAATTTACCTGCTACATCACTGATGCCCTGTCAAGTTGACATTTTAACTTGTGTAGTAACAGGTTTTGTTTTAGGAGGACTGGTAATGTCTTGTTTAGTTGATGTCTTCGCTCGTGTACTAACAGCACGATGGAAGAAACAGTCTCCTTGACAATTGTCTGTTAAAGGACATAACAACAGTCATCGTCACGGGCTAAAAATTTGTGGGGCACATTGTCTACTATGCTTTCCCAAGAATTTATCCATAAAGCTTTATTAAGTGTCTGGGATTGCGAGGATGTACATGAAACATACAGCTTCAAAGCGGCAACTTAATGGACGTTGGTCCAGTTCAAGAATGATTTAGCAAAGTCCAACCTAAATCAAATGGGAACACATACACTTATTTCCATAATGGAAGCTCCTTCTTTCTTTTCAATCCAAACGACAATCCTTCCATAGCTTGTGACGGGTTTCGGTAAACCCAGTTAAATTTCTTAGTTCCAGTAGTCAAACATATATCTTTCTCATAATTTAGGGAAGCAAGTCATTCTGTTGGTAAAAAAATGCAATTTGAAGTGTTGAAAACGTAAGATCTCAAATTTGATCTATGAGCACCACGACAATAGTAAAAAAACAAAACTCCTGAAGTGAAGGATTATCTTGAATTCCTTTTACACTTACCGGTTCTCGATACCAACATTTCAATTCCAAGCACTATCAATACATGCATTCTTCCTAATTTCATCGTCTTGGGCTTATGTTTTGGATGGGAATGTTTTAGGAAAGGCCACAATTGCAAAAGTGAAAGTTACGCTTTAATGATGCTCACTTGAGGCCTGACTAGGAATCAGCGGGAGTTCACGCTTTAAGGAAACAGTAAAATAAAAGAAAATTACTACAAGCTGATTTCAACCAATAATAAGCATATGGAATAGAGAAATGTAGAATGAGAAAAAAATAAACAAACAAAGAAACAGACTCTTCCTCTCTGCTTCTATTTAAGTTTTAAATTATTAAATGAGAGCCTGAGTCTCTAATATTATGGTCTGCGGCCTTTTGGATAGCTTGGCAGGCATAAATAGATTGTTCGCGCCCACGAACCGGACAGCAGCTACCCCAACGGAGGCTTACATCCAGCGGTTATTCGCTCCAACAATAGAGCTTCTCGTCCGCCATCTTGGAATTTACTACAGTGCGAGGCATCGCAATTAGAAGCTGAGATGTCTGACAAGGAAAATGAAAATAATACAAATATTGACCCTTTTGAGGTTACCATACCCACTGGAGCAACTCTTAGTAGTCCTGCAAGAGCTTCAATTCCTAGAAAACGCAAACTCACGTCAACGAAGGCAAATACGAACAAGGAGGGAGCGATAGCTCAACCTCGCCCTCAGGGAAAGAAAACACAACATGCCCTTGGAATCGCGTGAAAGACTATCCAAAACGACATTAGAAAAGACTCTCTTTATTAGTTACGTTGAGTTTAAGGATTATATTGATCACAAAAAATGATGTTAAAGTCCAAATACAACGTCATGTTTTGAGTAGTAATCTAGAGCAAAATTACTCTCGAAAGTAAGCAATGTTTTTTTTTTTTAAATTTGCGCGGCAACTTTTAACTATTCATACCTATAGCATGGATTTGGATCTAATTTGAATCAATGACATAGTCGCTTGGATAACACCACTGGATCACTATACATTTTTTTTAATCCATAATTTGCATGTATTACCTAATCTCTTTTTACTAAGGGAATAATAAATCACGCACACACGCACTTCCCCTTCCCCTTCCCCTCTCCCCTCTCCCCTACCCCCAACACCCAACACTCAAACTGTACTTAAAGGGAAGGAATCCATCAAGGGAATCTCTCTGCATACATCAGTAATTACCACGACTGCACATGTATTCGATAAACAAGATAAAAAACTGTTTATCATTTTTTTGTTAGTTTCACCGAACAGTTAGCATTGATCCTGCACTTATTGAAATGACATCACAGCTTTGCAAATTTGTACTCAAGCAAACGCGTGAAAAGATGAGATTGCTTCGAAGAGCAACATTTACATAGAACATAAATCAAGGACAGGGTTGCTCAAACCACTATTAATCCAACAATGGCAATAGAATTTCTTGTTTTATGGCTTTGCAAAGACACATACTATCAAATTTTGTTTACTTCAGCTTTATGGATTAGCCCGCTACCGTCTTATAAACAATCCACTTAGGCATTGACATACTCAGGCGCAGGTATTTGATGCACATAATCAGTTTCGCTGTCTTCTTCTCTTGATTTCACAAGTGAAGTGTACGTGCGGGAACCCTCCTCACCAGAAGTCTGCAAAATATTCAGTGGTATTTGTTAGAAAAATGATGGTATTATCGACTTGGTAGGCGTGCATGATTATCGAAACCTGTTTTCGGTTCTTTTCAAAACTGTTTGATGCTTGGGAACACGACTGAAACAATGCAAATGAAAAAAAGTTGAAAAAAACCATAAGCATTGCCGAGTGAAAATTAGACATTCATTGATCATATTTATAGTGATGTTTTTTTTTTTTTTTTGTGATGCTGCGCTTAAAACTTATCATGACTGTTACCAAACGAGACCACTTTTACCCGTAAATTTAAAAAGAAACAAAACTTAATCAAACTGGCAATGTTTGAAATAGATAAGAAAAGAAAGATTACTAAAATTTAATGAATAATAACTTTTATAAGGTACGGGGTGGACTCTGGTCATAAATTGTTCATTGGTCGATTGTTGTTGCTCTTTTATTAATGCATTTTCTTTTTTGATGCTATGAGCTGTTGAGTTTCTTTAAAATGCGTTTCGTAAGCAGATAGAATGTTCTATTCATAGTATGGTGACTATAGACAATTGATGATGGTAAATGGATAAAATTATCAAACTTTTAATTGATGAAACGTTGCAATGTAACATCAGGGTCAAGGTGCGTCATGATATGATGAGTGTAGGAAAGGGTATATATGCAGAGACCATTTTTAATAACATTCATATTGGGTAATTCTAATCTCTTTGTTTGTGCTATTACCATCATT